TTGCTCTCAGGAACTCAGTGAATTCAAGCATGGTACTGTGATAGGTTGCCACCTGTGCAATAAGTCCATCTGTGAAATTTCCTTGCAACTCAGCTATGAAGTGATAGGCCACGTAAAATAAGCACAGAAGTCGCCAACTGTCTGCAGAGTCAGTAGCTAAGGACCTCCAAACTTCGTGTGGCCTTCAGAGTAGCACAACAACAGTTCGTAGAGAGCTTCATGGAATGGGTTTCCATGGCCAAGCAGCTGCATCCAAGCCTTACATCACCAAGTGCAATGCAAAGCATTGGATGCAATGGTGTAAAGCACACCGCCACTAGACTCTAGAGCAGTGGAGATGTGTTCTCTGTAGTAAGGAATCACGATTCTCTCTCTGGGAATCTGATGGACGTGTCTGGGTTTGCTGGTTGCCAGGAGAACGGTACTTGCCTGACTACATTGTGCCAAGTGTAAAGTTTGGTGGAGGGGGAATATGGTGTGGGGTTGTAGAAGCCAGGATTACTATCGCTTTGAAAAAATAAAATAATTAACAGCTAATACGAAACTGAAACGTACAAGAAAACTGCATATTGACATATGGAAGACCTGTAAATATTTTGGAGTGTTGATAAGAGGTTATATATGATTGTATTTTTAACAATATATTGTGCCACAGAAAATTATATGCAGTAATGCAAAGGCTTGTAAGGTTTGATCTGTGCAGTGATGGTAAGCACTGTTTTCAAGGATGAATACTTAGTAAACAAGGTACTGCATACAAGGCATTCCATTTTGTGCTAACTAATTATGTCACCAAAGTATCAAGAGCAGGTTTTCTTGCTTTAGAATGCATATGGACAAATTAGACTTCTAAAAAAAACAAGAGCAGAAGATAACTTCAATAATTTCCTCGTGCTTAAAACAATCCATAAACACAGGCATACGGGGAACCAAAATTACTGTATACGCAAATCTCAACATTTCCTGTAAAACGTGATCCTGTTTCGTCATGACTCACAAGCCATCTTATTGGTTAGTGAGGCCATTAGAGAGGCAAAGGTGATAATGTGAAAGGCCAAAATTTCTAAATAAATTCAGATTCATTACTATAGGGCCCTGAGGGAGGCAGGAGAGTTAAATTACAATGTATAGTAATATAAGCATCAAAACAAACAGCAATGACTTGCTCCAATATTCATACAGATGACACCATAGCAATACTTTGGTAATACATGGGCAAATATGCCAATATACAGGTAACACACTGGTGATTGTGGCAATAGATGGACAACATACAGCAATTAAAACAAACTATTGATAACCCACTGGCAAGAATGAGAATACTTGGGTAACAAGTGGGTGACAGATGCAACTATGACAACAGGTGGTTGACAAATATGGGTAACACACCTGCTATTTGACAATTCATGGTCACCAAACAGGCATACTTGACATTACAGGCATATCTGGAAATCCATATTCAACAATACATGGGCAACTACATGAATAGTTATGGAAATAAGTGGGCAACAAGTAGCATGAGCAGCAAACAGGCCATTGTGACAATTCATAGGCAATACATGGGCAACAAACAGGCAACAGTTGCAAGAAAATGCAAGACCAATAACTAGAGACCAGTTACCAGATACTCTGTCATTTTATTGAATAACCAAAATGTAAAAGGAAAACAAAGAGTTCACACATGCTTACGTGTAGCCACTTCCAACTCAAATATTCAAAGGTCTTTTGATGCAAATTAATTTATGAATTCTTTTGGCGTGCTTAGCTGGATTAAAAAGGGGAGAGAACTTTAATTAAAGCAAATGGAAACACAAAGCAAAAAAGAGAAACAATTTGTTAACTGTAAATAACAAAATGAAAATATCTGGCTTGAGCATAAGCAATGTACTTATGTTCATGGTTCCATGTACTAATAGATATGGTTTAAAGCATGGAAGTGCATTTTGAGAGACACCGTAACGCAGGGACGGACTGACCATTTGGAAACTCGGGCGCTGCCCGAGGGCCCGGGGTCAGTAGGGGGCCCCATGAGATGCCCCTGGTACCTTTTTCATAGGCTTTTTTTAGTTTGGGCAAGGACACAGGGGCCCCATGATCTCCTATTGCCCAGGGGCCTATGACTTGTCAGTGCCGTAACGGGTTTACATCCTATCAAGTAGTTCTCTATGATGAACACCAGTGACCTGCTTGGCACCTGTGCATTAATTGTATTTGTCTCTTCTCATTCTACAGATCATCAGAAACTAGAGAGAGAGGCCCGGATTTGTCGTCTATTAAAGCACCCAAATATTGGTAAGAGATAGTATATTGCCTTACTGATTTATCTCTTTTTTGATATCTCTAACATCAGTACCTATGAGTCACTACTGATGTAAAGTGACACTTGTCATTCCTTTTGCTATCCCTTCTAAAAGTGCATATAACTGTGCATAGACTGTTGTAAATTGTTTTATTTTCTTCATTCTTGGCTGAATAGTATTTGCTATTTACAAGATTATCAAAAGTCATTGCAGCAAAAGGGCGTGCGGTACCTGAAACCCTTATAAGGGCTCTTGGCAGAAGTTGTGGTAAAAGTGCGATCTGTGGTGTGATGTATAACTTAGTCATCTCCAGAAGACTAAGCTCTGAACGGTGACATTTTTTACTGTCAAGTTTGAAAGTTTAAACACCTGATAAGTGAATAAAGTAAAACACATTCCTAGTGTGTAAGTGACTTTATTAACTCATCAGGTGTTTAAACTTTCAAACTTGGTGGTAAAAATTCCACCATTGAGAGCTTAGTCTCTGGGGAGATGGGGGAGGATGTCTAAGCTTATCTGCTGCTCACACAATATTTAGGAAGCTGCTTGCACCCTCACTCGCCTTCTTAGGAACCTAGGGCATTCAGGTCACAGGGTACCTAGATGACCTTCTTCTGAAGGATTAACCTGCCTGAAAACTATCTGCAAATTTCCAAACAACTCTCTCCATATTCTTAGTGCCTAAGGCTGGGTAATAAACCTTCAAATGTCTGCACTCCAAACTTCTAGAATACTTAGGCCTCATTCTAGACATGGCCCAGGCAGAAGTTTCTCCCTGGAAGATATCCCTTTCTGGGCCTTATGGTACCTTCATTCAAGGTTGTTCCTTTTTCTCAGTTCTACTTAAGGCTTCTTCAACACAACATTCTGTTGGCCTGGAACAAACACACTTCTCGCGATCTTCCAATGCTTCTCTCTAGCCAAGCAAAGGATTTCCATAGCTTGGTGGATTTCCAACCCAGCCTTGGAAATGGAAATGTTGTTTTTTTTTTCCATAATCATGGAGGGTAGTTACAACAGAAGCTAGCCTCGTAGGCTGGGGAGCAGTGTTCCAATCTTTCAAGGCTCAAGCAATGTGGTGCCCAAAAGAAAAAAAACTCTCCATCAACATTCTGGAATGCTGAGCAAAACTATCTCTGCCTCACTGGACCTCCCTTGTTCAGGGACACTCGATCAGGGTACAATCAGACAATGCTACAGCAGTGCTCTTTATCAATCATCAGGAGTTAGACAGCCTTAAAGTGGTTGTGATCTCCAAAAGGAATAAAGCAAATCCTTATGTAATGTGTGCTTGCCCCAGTCCATAGCACCTAATGTGGATCCTAGCTGTTCTCTCCTTCCTTTGCTATCTGCATCTATCTTTTCTGACAGTTTTCCTTCACATAAGGCAATGCCTGATGATGACCCGCCCCCTCCTCAAGCACACAGCAGGTGATTGACAACCTCATATGTGCATGTTTCCCAGTGAAAGTGTGTAGAGGGGCATCCGTCCATTCCCTTTATTCAGGTCTCTGCTCTGTGCTAGACAGTGTGTGATCTCACATCCCCACCCCTGCCTCCTGGAAGCTAAAGAACTACCATCTGATGTGTTTACTAGAGATGAGCGAATCGAACATGACGAAGTGGAATTCGTTCCGAAGATTTGGAAAAATTCGATTCGCGACGAATCCGAAGATTAGCAAACTTCGGATGCACGAATCGAATTTTCCCAAAAATGGCGGCGACATGTGTGGCGACGGAGAAAATGGACAGAGAAGATGGGGCGGGGATCTCTGGGAAGGCGCGCAGACAAGGCGCGCTGACCCATAATGCATTCATGACATGTGATCGCATTAGCCAATCAGCAGCCAGCCAGCACTGTGTAATGGTGGAGCTATAAATCGCGGCCATCTTAGAATTCTCCATTAGCCTACGGTCATTCAAGAGAGACAGACCTGTGTGTATTAAGGGACAGAGTTAGGGCCACAGAGACTTTAGGGCCACAGAATCGTTACTCAGGGACACAGAATCGTTACTCAGGGACACAGAATCGTTACTCAGGGACACAGAATCGTTACTCAGGGACACAGAATCGTTACTTAGGGCCACAGCTATCAAAGAATCGAAAATTTAAAGTGACATACACCCTTTTTTTTTTTGGTGGCTGTCGTGCACAGTTGGTGCTGCAGTTTGCCGATTGTGCAAAATAAACTGACTCTCTGCTTCACAACCACTATTGTACGTTCAAAGAGTTAAATCCATTTACACGCCGGCTGGCGGTAATATTTTTTGGGTGATTAGTGCATTCCAGTGACATAAACGTACAGTTTCCAGCCAACGGCAAGCTGCAATTGACCGATTGTGCTAAATAAACTGACTTTCTGCTTCACAACCACTATTGTACGTTCAAAGAGTTAAATCCATTTACACGCCGGCTGGCGGTAATATTTTTTGGCCCCCTGTACCGGCTCCTCATGAACGTGGTTCAGCGGGTTTGCATCACTTAACGGCAAATCGTTGACAAACGCTGGGACGTTCAGTGTTGTGCGCATTAAGCCAGACACCAAAGGGCAGCACAGACCTGTTATTACTCGCTCAAGCATGGCTGAACAAAACCAGTCTCTACCACAAATTGGACCCAGACCTGCCCAGGGTCTCGTAAGTAGATTGCACGGAGGAGTAGAGTTCGTTATTGGAATTAACTGTGAGGGACTTTTAAACCTAGGCCTGTGTATGGCCTTCAATTGAAGCTGCTTCTGCTCCGCCACTCTGCCATTGGACTCTTGATAGTCGTCTCCCCACGCTGCTGCTGGGGGGACTTTTTAACATAGGCCTCTGTATGGCCTTCAATTTTAGCTGCTTACGCTCCGCCACTCTGCCATGGGCCCCTGTACCGCCTCCTCATGCTGCTGCCAGGCCCGTAATCTGCCATGGGCCCCCGTACCGACTTCTCATGCTGCTGCCAGGCCCGTAATCTGTCATGGGCCCCTGTACCACCTCCTCATGCTGCTGCCAGGTCCAGAGTGTATCATGGGTCCCTGTACGGCCTCCCATTGCTGCTGTCTCCATCGCCACACTCTGCCATGTGCCACTTTCAGGTCTCCTCACACTGCTGGTGGGTTCCATTTTGTCATAGGGTGCTGTATGGCCTCCCATTGCTGCTGCCTCCACCGCCACACTGTGGCTCCACACACTCTGGTTTTGGCCCCGTGACTGCCCAAATGAGTGAAGTGTGCGGTGATTCTAAGATCGACGGCACTCATCTGCATGTCATACTGACTGACAGTATTATTTCTCTTCCCCAGCAGACTCCAAGGGCATTTAAATTAAAGGTACAGTGTTCTGCACTAATATAAAGGCTCTCTGAAGCCTAGAAACACCCTTTTTATAAGTTAAATTCGCAGCGAATATATTTGGCTCGAAGCTAATTTATTTGGCGAATTCGGCGAATCAGCCGAACCGAATTTTTGAATAATTCGCTCATCTCTAGTGTTTACTTTGAAAGGCTTTGGAGACAAAAAGGGCTACAGATTTACAGGTTCTGCTTATGTGGGAGGAATTTCTTAATGATCATGTATTTCCTCAGACTAGTCACATCAGTGGACTTATATAAAGTTTTTTTTAATCAATTTAAAGATATTAAGTTTGATTCTCTCCTGGGGAGAGAACAACTGACCAGCAATCTCTGCTTTTCACATTCGAGGAGTGGACAATTGACAGGTAGATCTCCTCAGCCATCATAGCCTGGACCAGAGAGAATGGTCCCTTCATCTCAACATCTTCAATCTCATATGACCAGGACCAAGGATCCTTTAGCACTGGCATCAGATGCCCTAGTAATTCCCTGGACTCCATTTAAGGTAATATATGCCTTCCTCCAGGTGTGGATTTTTCTTTGGCTACGGGGGATTCTCATTGCAGGTAAGTAAAAATTCCAATTATCTTAATTGTACAGTACAGACACAGGCTGGATATCCATAGACCCTGGGATCTTTCCAAGCAATTAAACAGAGGGGTGGCCTACAACAAGGCAAACAGAACAGTGAAAAACATGTCCAACAAAACAAACAAGGGTCAAATACTGAGCACTGAACTGGTCCAGAAGAACCTGGTACACCAACATATTAAAACCCCTGGAGACTATCCCTGGTCTCTCCCAAATAGGCCATGCCTGCTGTCTCAAGGCCACCTGCTTCTCAGTCATTAACTTTAATGGCATGGCTGTTGAAACACAAGTTTCTCACCTCAGCCAGAAAAGCTGATCTGCTTAAATTGTACAACAGTACCTGTAAATCACTTTCAGCCTGGTGTGAACACAAGCTTTTCAATCTCAGAGATCACTCTGTACTTCACATTATGGTCTTCCTACAGTCAGGACTTGGCCAGAATTTGGCCTTTAGAACTCTTAAGAAACAAATTTCAACCTTATCCATTCTATTTCAGAAATCTTTGGCTTTGCTTTCCCTTTGCTTTCCCTTGTTAGAACATTTATTTAAGGTGTGTCATGGATCAAGGCCTCATTACAGGACTCTGTGCTTCCTTGGGATATTAATTTGGTTCTCTTTGTCCTGCAGAAACCACCCTCTGAATCTATTAGATACCTCTCCTTGAGTGATCTCCCTAGAAAAGCGGCCTTCTTGGTGACTATCATGTTTGTCTGGTGTGTTTTTGAGTTAGCAGCTTTTTTTTCGTAAAGAGCCTTTCCTGATTCTTCACAAAGATAAAGTAGTCTTGTGGTCAAGACCCTATTTTCTACCTAAGGGAGGGGTGTCAGGCTTCCACCTTAATGAGGATATTGTCCCTCCTTCTTTGTGCCCTGCTTCAAAGGCCCCCAAAGAAATTTCTCTCCATTGTCTGACGAGGTCAGAGCTGTAGGGTCCATCTGAAGCCACGGCATCTATCCAAAATATGGACTCTCTCTTTGTATTGCCGACAAGGTCTCATAAAGGGCACCCTGCTTCTAAGTCCTTTATTGCTAGTGTTTATGCTCTCAAAGATAAGGTACCTCCAGTACCAATACATACTCCCTGCACAGAAATAGTTTTTCTGGGCTTTCTGACATCAATTATCTATTACCCAGCTTTGCAAGGCCACCACCTGGTCTTTGGTTCATGTTTTCTGTACAAGGTGGATGTCCAGGCCTCTGTGGATGCAGCTTTCAGGCACAAGATTCTTGTAGCTGCACTCTCTGATTTAGATATTTGACCCTTGTTTATTTTGTTGGGCCTGTTGGCACTGTTCTGTTTGCCTTGTTGGGCCTGTTGGCACTGTTCTGTTTGTCTGGTTGTTGACCACCCATCTGCTTCAATGCTTCAGAATGTCCCAGGGTCTATAGATATCCAGCCTGTGTCTGGACTGTAAGATAATAGGTATTTTGACTTACCTGTAAATTCTGTATCTAGGAGTACAGCACAGAGAATGAGCCACTCTCCCCTTTGTTCCTGAGTTACTCTGCATTGCTTGCAAAAAAACTGAGGACTCATGGAGGAGGGTGGGATTATAGGAGTACACCCAGGGGATGTGTCCATCAAAACATTTTCCAGTGTTCAATCACCTAAGGGGAAGCAGACTAAAACCCAGTGTCTATAAATATCCAGTCTGTGTCCTGTACTGTACTGTACAAGATACAGAAATTACAGATACATCTAAATTCCACACAGTTTCACAACTGTTTTTAAGGAGCTATGACTGAAGAGAAGTTGCAATAAAGAGTACAATAAATAGCCTCTATGCATAAGTACTGATAGATGGGACAGCAAGAGGAAAAGCATACCTGTAGATAAAATAAAAGATAACCTTGTGCATAAAGTAAAATAAAAAAAAAATATATATATATATATATATATATATTAGTTGTGACATCTTGAAAACAATCTGAAAACTAGACATGCTGTAAAATTACAATAAAAATCGAGCTGCACTGCCCCTTTAAGAATAAAAAAAAAACAAACATCCCAGTGCTCAGTACATACCAAACATAAGATAAACAGCTATTAATAAATAACAAATGAAATCTATAGTCTCAAAAGGAAAATCCCAAAGAGATGAGAATGTTCTGACATGACCACTAGAGACAATTTAGTGCTGCAGGAAGAGTGATACTGCTCCAAAACCACTTCACACTAATGTTAAACACATTCCTTACCAAAAGGACTGATCAATCAGGCTGTCACAGTCCAGTAAAGATTCCTATATAATATTCTCAGTGGGAGGAATGAACAAACAGAAGAAATCCCATAGTGTAGTATAAAGAAAACATAATATAATTTATATGAAAATTATACCTACAATGGCCGAGAATTACATCCACGTATATCTCAATACAAAAGCACCACCGGATCCACCATCAGTGTGCAAAATGAGTCATGTGTCTGGCTTTGCCCAACGTATTTCTCTCTAATAAGCATCTTCAGGGGATAGAGGCTCGTTCACACTGGAACACGGTGCGGGAAACCCACATTCTGTACATATTTCCTGCACTGCGTTCAAAATGCATTGGGTGTACGATCTGTTGCTGGTGTAAATATGAACCTAACAACACCCCAAATGCATATCGCAAATGCAGTGCGTTTTCCTGCATTGGATCGCATGGTACTGCAGTGTAGTGCACTTTTGTAAAGTAGCACATGCACTACTTTTAGTGCGATCCATTGCGATTTCAGCCAATTCAAATGAATAGGCTGAAAATCACACTACATCGCAGTGGAATGGCACAGGAAAGTGGAACACTTTTCTGTGTGATTCAGGCGTGAACTGACCCTAAAAAAATAAAACTAATGCTGCCACCGCATCTAATGATTGCTAAGCTGCAATATATTACATTTTTTATTTTGGGTTTAATAATGCTTTAAATGTTTTCACATTGTTGGTGTCCACATTTTTTGTGTAAGCCCTTTCTCTAGCTACTTTCTGTTCTATAAACAACCAATCTTTGAGGTTCCCATTAGTCCCCAAAGCCACAGATCCCTTTACTCCCCTGAAGCTGTAGAAATACAAAGTACAGATTTTCCTTCCAGCCAGGGAGGCATATTGTATATGTGGATTCCTGACTCCACCTATCTTAGTCTCTATGTGTAGTCTAGCACACTCCATATGCTGTCCTACTAGCGGTTAGCCGACAGCTAGCTAACAAAACTGACAAAAGCAGCGTTGTGTTTCATTCCAAAACTGAGTTTACTTCTGTGAATAATTCTGTAAAACTGCAATACAATCACATAAACTGACATTACAATATGTTTGTACACCATGTATATTACAAATGCATACAGAGATCACATTTTTTGCAATCAGCTACCTAAAAATCTCACTGGATACATTTAAATGTGATCTATCTATCTATGTGACTTTAACAAACACAATGGATGAACTTTCAGGCATATGTGTATCAAAGGGAGGAAGGAGGCCTTCACTGGCGTTCTTTTAGAAGCAAAATGGAACTGCAATGGTGAATGGAAATCTTTATTTTAACAAACCGAGACACTGCCTCTTCTTTATTGATAAGGGTGCAATAATAAAAACAGGTGCAGTTGCAGTGAATGCCCAATAGATGACGCCGTACTCAACGCAATGATGATATACAATGTACAGAACACTCCCCATCATCATATAACTGAAATACTGAAAACAGATGCAGATTAGCAACATTTCTACCAATGTGTGTATTATCTCCAGGTCTGGCATACTCTGAAGTCTGTACGCTTGTTTGGCCCAAGCAAACAGGTCTGAGCATATATAATAATAGCCATCCCAGGTTCATGGCCAAGCTAGAAAGGTGCCACTATTGTTCAATTCACAGCCAGTCGCATGTTTAGAGACACGAATATGAACACTGGAGTATACTGGAGCCAGAGGGTATAATAAACATTGCCAGAGAGTGGTATGCTGCTTGGCTGAATCTGAGGTCTGCATTTATTTTAGACTTTTGCAGTGAGGGTATGGATAGGAGTGGAACAAAAGTGAACTTGCACATTAAAGTGTTTGGAAACCTAAAACTTTTTTCATGTTTTAGATAAAGTGGAGAAGGATTAGAATCTCTAATGTTGGGTTTTTACTGCTATTTGGGTCTCTGTAAGCCCGGGTTTTCATACACTCACCGACCACTGTATTAGGTACACCTTGCTAGTACTGGGTTGCGCCACTTTTGCCTTCAGAGCTGCCTTAATTC